GCCTTTTCTCCCCTCCCCCTTTTGGTTGCCAGCATGACATCTTCACAGGTAGATGTTGTCATTTGTTACCTGGGCCAGAAAATTTGCTTATACCCGTACTGACCAATAGACTACAGTCTGTTCTGCAAAATCCCACAAAACCTCATACTTTTTTGTAGCACACTGTCTCATACATATCCAGTTAAGCACTGGACTGCACAATCAGCACAGTAAGAAGCTCCAGTCTGGATGGGGATCTGTACATTATAACAAAAGCAGGGAACAAAAAAAAAGCAGAAATTAGATGTACTTCCTCTTATCACACCTTCATTTTATCCCATAAAAGGCCCCTCATCTTAACATAAAAAGCAAATCTGAAGTGATGTCACGCACAGGTTGCAGGTGTAAAAGTTTATTCATCTCACCTTTGCAAGTACACTGGTACAACAATGCAAGCTAGCTGTTTGGATCTCTTTCGAGTGCAGCACTACAGGCTTGACGAGTTTACCGTTTATTTTTTCTGTGCGCTCATCCTGTTCTCTTTTATGCCCACTGTCAAAGTAAGTCAGAGTCCAGATAGAATCTCTAAAGGTTACATGGTCTGGTTTCAATTAGTTAAATACATCAAGTATTGGATGGACAAACTCAGCTTCTCAAGACTGTCTAATTGGTCTAGGTGAGCTTTGTGAAGTCCTAGCAAGATTTCTACACCTTTTCTTTTCATGCCATCCACTGGGAATACAGTGATGCTCACTCAACCAAGCTTTAATATCCTAGCTCTGGAAAAAGGCAAGAAGAGATTATGAGCATTTGCCATTTTCAAAATCCCAGCAGGCTCTGGTTGCATGCATCGTTCTCACTGTATCTGGCTTGGTTTGTCAAACTGTTTTGCTAGTGTACTACAGCGGTAGGAAATTCCCAGTCAATGGGACTTGTAGACCTGGCAGCTATACTTAAAATATGCCTGGATGGGACTCTGGAATGCATCCAGTCCTACTCACTGAAGATGTGCTAGTCCCATGCCAGGCTGCCCAACCCATCCAAGGGGCCAGGTGGGCGTGGGTCTCCCTGTGCCAATTCATGCCTTCATTTTCAAGAGACTAATCTTTTATTTTTGACCTTAAATTCAAGTGCTGGTCCAGGAGCAGTCCTGTACCTCCATTTTCTTACCCTGCATGTGTAGCTGGCGATTGCTTAGTATACCCCTTTTCTCATTCCCAAAACACACAGATACAATTGCTCTTCAAGCCCAGCCTCCCTTTGGTTTGTCTCAAGCAGCACACAGCTGTCCATATTAAGGACTGGATTGGAAATAGATGGATGAGGAAAGTCTTCTGCCTGTTCCTCTCTCCTTCTGCCTGCCTTGCCTTTGTCTCTGTCCTTGTCCATTATTGTCTCTGTCATTACCTATATAGTACCTATATAAAAGACAGAGTCATTCACTTGCCATATACACAACTGTGCGCTTTGGAGAATGGCTCTATAAACATCCCCAAGGGGGAAAGTACAGTTTCTCCAGAAATGTGAAAAGTCTTTCCAATGCATTCATATTCCCTGAAAACTTGTCTGAGCCACATTCATAGAAACTTCATAATACTCCAGTAGCCTTTTTAACACAAATAAAACTAATGCAATTGCTGGTCAGAATTGTAAGAGTTCAGAGTACTTTTTTCATTGTTCAGGTGACCTGGCAGTCTCCCAGCATATCATAGTGTTGCCAACCTCCAGGTGATGGCTGGAGATCTCCTGCTATTACAACTGATCTCCAGGTGACAGAGATCAGTTCACCCTGAGAACATGGCCACTTTGGAAGGTGGGCTCTATGGCATTATGCCCCATTGAAGTCCGTCCCCCAACCCCACTCTCCCCAGGCTCCACCCTCAAAAGCTCCAGGTATTTTCCAACCTGGAGTTGGCAACCCTACTTCAGCATGACACTACACACAGCCCCCTGAAGGGAATTAGTATTTATCAAATAGGGTGCAGTCCTCGCCTAAATAGCCTTTTGGTGAGATACCAACCAGGTGCCTGTTCTACAACAAAAAACAAATTGGGGTTAATGATACAAGCATCTAGGGAGCAAAGCGCATCCTCCAGTATATATAATTCTATTTTGGTCATGGATTCCCCTGAACATTCCAACACGCTCCAAAATCAGTTCGCTCTCTGATCTGTCATTCAGAGGGTCTCCCTATCCACTGGCTGCTTTGCCTGAGTCCTGCCTCCAACATTCTAAACAGTTTGCTGTTCCTCTCCCCCCCATAGCCAGTCAGAACACAGAGGTCATTTGCATATGTGGCCTGATTCGCCTTTGCCTCAGAACACAGAGGTCGTTTGCATATGCAGCCTCACTGGCCTTTCCCTCTAACATTCTAAACAGTTTGCTGTTGATGTTCTGAGAATGATAAAAGGGTTGGAACACTTTCCCTATGAGGAACGGTTAAGGCGCTTAGGGCTCTTTAGCTTGGAGAAACGACGACTGAGGGGTGACATGATTGAGGTTTATAAGATTATGCATGGGAAAGAGCAGGTAGAGAAAGAGGTACTTTTCTCCCTTTCTCACAATACAAGAACCCGTGGGCACTCCATGAAATTGCTGAGCGGTCGGGTTAGAACGGATAAAAGGAAGTACTTCTTCACCCAAAGAGTGATTAACACTTGGAATTCACTGCCACAGGAAGTGGTGGCAGCTACAAGCATGGACGGCTTCAAAAGGGAATTAGATAAGCATATGGAGCAGAGGTCCATCAGTGGCTATTAGCCACAAGGTATAGATAGGGACTCTGGGGCAAGTGATGCTCTGTCATCTTGGTGCTTGGGGGGGGGTCAACAGTGGGAGGGCTTCTAATGTCCTGGCCCCACTGGTGGACCTCCTGATGGCACTGGTATTTCTGGCCACTGTGGGATACAGAGTGTTGGACTGGATGGGCCTTTGGCCTGATCCAACATTGGCATCTCTTATGTTCTTATGTTCTTATGAGTTACAGCCTAAGTTCTAAATTCTTCACATCTTCCAAGAGCTTTCCAAAAAACAAGGCTGTACCAGCTTATCCTATCAGCCAGAAAAACATCCAGAGTTCCTGCCTGCTATGTCAAACTCTACTGCATTGTGTTTCCCAGTACTGACAGGAAAACAGTGTGCAAGTATTAAATACTAATAGGTAATCTACAAATTTTAAACTAATCACAATAGTTTCACATAGTTTGCATATAAATAATGAGATTAACACACAATTCAGCATGAAAATTATGTCCCAGTAACAAGTGCCCACACTGCAAACTGAAAATTCAGAAATATTATCTATACTCTCAAGTCTATTGCAGAATTAAATTACGTACATTCCAAAAGTTCACAAACTGTTCTACTGCAGAGACACAACAACTTCATAAGCTACTGCAGTTCATAGTGACTAACTGTACAGGAAACTCTGCCACAACTCAAAGTGAGAATTAAGACCACTTTAACTGTTCACTCTGCATGTAGTCAGGCTTCATTAAAACAATGTTACAGAAAACCCAAAAGACTAGTCATCCTTATCACATTCACTACATGGGGGGTCCTGTGCAGGAAAAGTGTGCCTTACTAGTGTGGGGGTCAGGGACCCATGGGGTAAGCCAGTCTAGACACCACAGCTATGCATATGAAGACCTTGCCAGAATTTATTTACAGCAGCCCCAGGAATGGATCAAATTATACTCTTCTCTCTTTCTTCTGTCCAAAACTACAAGTTTAAATTAAAATAGACCTATATAGCCCCCAAAAATTTCTCCCCTGAGCATATAGCTTTGTGATTTTCATTTAAAGGGCATATAGGAAAAAATAAAACTGGTTAATAGAAGGAGAAATATATTCTTACAGTAACACAAACATTGCTATATTCACTTGATAAGATGCCAGAGCTCCAAATTTGGGCACTGGCTCACCTCTGATCAGAGATGCTGGGGTGCAAGGCTGCCTAAAAACCGTATTCCAAATGCGGTGTTTGTCAGTGCCTTCCCTGGCATCCACCAAGTGTTTTCAGAAAGTGGGCAGGGCCAGGTGGGACTTTTGCCCAGCAAGGCTTCTGATTGGCAATGCAGATTTTTAGAAAGGTGCTTTGGCAGCACCTGTAACCGCAGCACAAAGATCTTCACTGCATGACTGAACCTGTATGCAAAAAAAAATTAGTTTTAAACAATATGTTTATTTTAAAAGACATCCTGTTGAATGGTACTTTTGCCTGAAAAGTTGAAGGATTACTATTAGAGTTACACTTGCTTTCACTCCCTGACTTTTTGTGGTTGGTTCTGCTTCTTGTGGCAGACATTTTGCGGTTGAACCCACCACTTTGTGTCAGAACGTTCCAAAGGTAAATGTAGGCTCAAGAAGGTTGTGAGCCCTTGTTCTAAGTCTTGGTGGCATTCACTGTCCACAAATGTCAGACATACAGAGCAGTATCTGGTCAGCAGCAAAGGTGGCATTCTGCAAATGACCCTGCTTAGCTTCCAAGATCTGACGAGATCAGGCTAGCCTAAGCCATCCAGGTCAAGATCAAATTAGGTCCTGTATTTGGGAATACATTTCTTTGAGACTAGATTTCTTGATGTATGACACATTACCTCTATCCAGGTATCTCACAAAAGCATTTAAGAAATACAGAAAACAATCAACTGTAATGATAATTTGCCTGTATGGGTGGAAACTGAAACCATGGTCTGCTTCTAAACAACATGCAAACTATGGTTTCGTACAGTGCCTGGACGGAATTGCTGAAAGACTCCAGCTCACACCTTGTCATTGGAGTATTTGTTGGGAACATTCCCAGACATCATGTTTTGTGATGCTGGCACAGCACAGTCAAAACACCCCAGCTTAATCCCTAGATCCCACCTATCAGTTCTTCCCAACATTTTAGCATTGGCTGCACTGACTGAGAACTGGGGAAGCTTTCTACTTCTTCAGCATTTGCTGAAGGCACATGGGGGGGGGGAATCCATTTAGAATCCAGTAAACTGCAAAAAGCAAGGAAATGAGGCAGTTACCTAATTGTGTGCTCAAAATAGATATCATCCACCGAAGCTGTGACGCAAGGGCAGCCAGCATGCCTCTCGGCTGCAAAGGCAAACAAACAATATTCATTATGTACATCACTGCACCAAGCAGGGCTCTTTCTGTTTACAATAATTACAGTTGCAGGCTTAGAGTGGAAACAGTAAAAAAAGCTTGAGTTTCAAAACGAAAATATACATAACACATTCAAGCATAAGAAATTATACTGTGTTGAGGAGTACAAATCATGTTTTCACACAGGGTTGGGGAAAATTCCCAGATACATGGTCAACCAGTTACATAAAATAACATTTGATGAAAAATTATATATATATATATATTATATTATACACACACATACACACACATATATATACATACACACACACACATATATATTCTTTACTCAAAGATCCCTACATCTCTCATAACATCCAGCATAGTGGTTCTCACTCTAATTTTATTAAAATTGCTGCATTACTAACTCTCATTATATTTAAGATGTTATCCTTTCACCTTGGAGGCAGCTGTATAAACAGGATTATACACAGCATTATGAGGTCATGACCTGGATAGAGAATTTTCTTTTGCATCAATGTTTTTACCAGATCAGTTATCAGTTATAAAAGGGGCTGCAAGCTTTAATTGGTTTAATTGACAGATCCATCAACTACAGCTTTAGTTGACTAATTGGTGTGAGTCAGTATCAGTCAGTGAGAGCAACTTTTAATGTAGGGCTAAGACTCAAGGTTAGAATTCTCTATTTTCTAAGCCTGTTTTGCTTATGGTGTGTTAGTCACAGTGAATTAAAAGACTACTCCTAAAGAGGGCCTTTACTTTGAACACTGTGATAGCTTTTATTACAGTGAACATTTCCACATTTCAGTGTCACATACCTATGTTGAAGTTCTAGCACTTATTTATTCACTTCAACAAGCATATTTAAATTTAATAAAATGACTGTTTAGCTTTCTGAAAGGCAGATGTTCTACTTTCTAAATGATAGTAGGGATTAATAGTCAGAACTTTATTAATCAATATATGAATGAAACCACACCCATTTGTAAACATGTTGAACATAATTCTTCTAAATGCAAAAATTATTCAGGCACCTTGCTGTCTGGATTCATTTTCCTGGGCAGTGGAGAACAGCAAACAGTCAGCAGATATGTATGTATGAAAGATAGATTATAACAGTACATCTTCCCTTGAAACAGGATCATTCAAAACAGCATTTCTGCAGGTGGGTGGGGAATGAGCCATCAAGTCACAACTGAGTTATGGAGACCCCATCATGGAGTTCACAAGACAAGAGAGGAGCAGAGGTGGTTTGCTACTGCCTTCCTTGAGACATCCAAATTCTGCCCAAAATCACTGTGCATCTTTGAGAGGGCTGAATCTATGTAAGCACTGGCCCTTGTGCCTCTGTGTATATGTTATTTCATTCTGAGGCAAATAAATATATACTACTGGCAGGCAGGAGGCCTAAGGAGACTGAGGCAGAGACTCAAACTTTGCCTCTTCCCAGACAATTGGCAGCCCACTTGCCCTCCAGAGTCACAGGACAGAGAGACAGGGGGTTAATTCCCCTCCTCTGGGATAGTAAAGAAAATGTATGATAACCATATTTAGGAGGTTAGTAAAAGTCCAATTCTCTCTCTCTCCCTCCCCGTGAGAGAGAACCACTGATTCAGGTTCCAAAATCTCTGGACCATCTTTAAAAAATTTTAAATCAGCTGGGGGGAGGGCCAACATGGAAGACTCCACCTGTTGACGCATCAGCCAAAGTTCAGAGTCTATTTAAAACACCACTAGTTTGCACAGGGAAGGAGTGCTAACCCTGTTCCCTCACCTCATCTTACCTCACTTTGCTCCAAAGTTTGAAGCATAGTTTCTCCCAGCTGGGCTCTAATACCAGAAGATAACCAGGACAGGAGAAGAGACTGCCAGCCACTGTGGTATAGCAGAGTGTCAAACTATGATCTTGGAGACCCAAGTTTGAATTCCCCACTCTCCCATGGAAGCCTGGTAGGTGACCTTGGCCAATCACTCTCACTCAGCCTAACTCACCTCACATGGTTGTTGGGAGGACCACATGGAAAAGGGGAGAATGTTGTAAGCTACTTGGGATCCCCATTGGGGCAAAAAGTGGGGTATAAATGAATAATAGTATAATACTGAAAGAAATGGAGTGCAGTGAGGCAACAGGGGCAGGGTTGTATTCCCTTCACCTGATTTTTGTTTTTTAAGAAATACTCCACCTCTCCCCCATCTTGAAGAAAGCTCACCCATAAGTCACTTCACACCTCTCTGTGCTCACTTTGCGAGGGAAAATTTTAATCCCCTATAAAACAGGGAGGCTTTCACCTGTCTGCCTGATATTTGAGAAGGAGCTCTTTACTGTGTGTTTTTATGTGTAGGCACATGAATGCCTGTGCATGTGTGTGCAAACAATCCTGAGACCTTCGTTCGCACTGGGTACAGGGGCCAGTGAGTGCACACCCTGAAACATGTTTCCCATAGAAAGAACTACTGGAATGATCTCTCAATACAGGTAGTTTTAATCCAAATATTAAAGAACTCAACTCAAGGGTTTTTTTGATGCCACAAAAATTGACACTCTCCCCCCTTCTTCATCGATTCCAACACATCCATATATTTATTTGTGAGAAAACAGAAAGTTTTATAAATGACAAGGAGGTTAAGGAGTTTTGGGAGGATCAAAGCTCTTCATAAAGGTTAGAGATAGTCACTAAATAGAGGCTTAAGTAAATGTACACATCCAAAAGGCCATGAGAAAGTAGTAGCATCAAGGAAGCCACACATGGCAAGGAGGCTTCCATTAAGAGGTGGAAGTTTGGCCCAAATGCAGGAAATAAAGAGTACAAATCCTACAAAACAAAACTGAGCTCATAAAGCAAGCAAAGAAGGAATTGAGGAACAAATTGCTAAAGGTATAATGACATACTGTGAACACTTCTTCAAAGACATCAGGCATAGGAAATCTGCCAGAACCTTCATGTCAAATAGTGGGTTCCATGGATGAGCAGGCTCAAGCCTAGTGATCAGCTCAACTTTGTGATTTCAGCAAGACAAGACCCCAGAGCCTCAGCTCTGTTAAATAGCATGCAAACCTGGAATGATTCAGTCCCAATACATTAACACTTCAGAAGCGAAAGGGCTGAAAAGAAAGCTGGAGCAGCAGAGGTTGCAAAGAAAATGCATGGATTCTTTGCATTGGTCTTTATTTGTGTGTAAAATTTATATCTTGCCTTTCATCATTCATGCATCTCAAATTTGCATATATGACTATTCCTAGGAAATCTACAGGCACTGACCAGATCCAGACTGGGTTTGCTTCCACACAGAGATGTTTTTCTGCTGCTGCTGCTGCTAATGTAGAGGCATTCACAGTGGTAACAGTGCTAACACATGGCCATTTTCCCCACTACACAGACACACACCCTTCCTTTGCCTCAGTCCCTCATCCTTGCCACCCTCCCCACACACACTGCAGGGATTTTTCAGGCTTAAATCAGCAATTGACAAATTGTTATAGCACAAGTACATAATGTACTAGTTTACAGCTGTCATTTTTCACAGATGTCTCTAGCCCATTTTGTTGCAACGTTATAAGAGGAAATGTCGACCCTGCATGTTTTCCCTTGTAACTCTGTCATAAAAACGCTAGAAACTTACTTTTTAAAAGTGAAAGCTAGGAATTAGAATATTGATGCATTCGATCATTATAATGTTATTGAGCTATAATGATCTATGAATTACTGATTTTTTAAAAAAGCTCTCCAGTGGAATGAATGAGAGCAATGGGTCTGAGATAAGGAAAATCCTGCCAGTGTGGGTGGGACTTGCAAAAATGCACACCTTCCCATCCACACCTCTAACAGCATTTTGACTGTGATGTCTGCAAAAAAATCATACCAAATCAGGTCTGGGAACGATGGTAGCAAAACGGGAAAGAACACAAAAGAGGACAAATAGAAGATGTCATGTGGATGCTCCCCAAAACACTGCTGCAGTTAAGGAAGCCAAGGCAGAGCAAAACACCTGTGAGAAGCAAAACATCTGTGAGAAGTGCTGAAGCACTACTTAGCTTCAACAGGGTAGTTGCACCTCTAGAATATGCACTGATATACTTGGACTCCCAAAAAACTTGTAACAAAGTCCCTCACCAAAGCCTCCTAAATAAACTCAGTAATCCTGTTATGACTGGTAACTAGTTACCAAAAACAGGAATCAGAGGCTAGGAGTAAAGAGTTCACATAATTGAAGGGAAAAAGTGGTGGTGGTCGTCCACCAGGGACCAGAACTACGTAAAATTCATAAATAATATGAAATCAGGGATGAGCTTTAAAATAGCTACATTTTTTATGTTAACAAATTATTCACGGTGAAATCTAAAGCATACAAAAGAACTCCAGAAGCATCCATCCAAACTGGATAAAGGGCCTCAGAACAGCAAATTAGGTTTAATGTACGTGAGTGCAAGTAGATGTATGGGAGGAAGGGGAATCCCAATTCCCCATCAGGACATATATAGTCAGAACTGGTTGTGACAACACAGGAAAGAGATTTTGAAGTTGTGGTAGACAGCTCAGTGAAAAACATCAACTTGGTCGTCTGCTGCAGCAATGAAAGGCAAATTCCTTTCCAAGGATAATTAGGAAAGGGATTGAAACTAAAACTGCCAGTATGTTAATGCCTTTATGTAATCTCCAATGTGGCCGTATTTAGAATACTATGCACTAGGCAACCCAATTCAAAAAGGAGATCATAGCTCTGGAAAAGGCTAAAGAATTTGAGACTTTTTTATTTACAGGAAAGAAAAGATGACAAGTGAACATACATTTTATAAAAATTATGAATGGTTTAGGGAAATGTGTATTATTTCTCAGAACACCGAAATGTGGCCAATATATGGGAAATGTTAGGAAGCAATATTTCAAATAATTAATAATTTACCTTATGAAACTGATTGTCACATGATGTGACTGTACCCACTGGGTAGATGACTTAAAAAAAGGCTGACACAGATTTATGAATGATGTGTCTGTTAACAATTGTTAGCTCCAACTGCTAAAAGGGATCTCTAGGTTCAGAGGTGCACGTGCCTTTCTCCTAGGTTTGTCTCCTGGAGACGGCTGGCAAGCCACTGTTGGAAGCTCTTTTGTACAGACTCCTCTGTGGAGGACTGACGCAGGGACAATCCTGCTATACAGTAAGATGCTGGACTGGACAGCACTCAGCCCTTCCCAAACCTACCAGTGTATAAAATGTCAACTGAAGAAAAATAGACTGACAGGTTTGGAAAGTGGGCATGGTTTGTAAAGCATCTGCTTCACATGCAAAATATCCCAGGTTCAATTCCGGGCATTTCCAGCTAAATATCAGGCTGTAGGTGATGTGAAAGACTTCCACCTGAGACTCTGGAGAGTTGCTGCCAGTCTGCATAGACAAAGCTGACCTTTGGTGGACTAAGGTCTGATTCAGTATAAGAGGCCGCTTCATGTGGAATTAATTAATCTCAAAGCCTCCTGAGAATCTGTCAAAAGACAGGGATACAGGAGCTTTACAATGCTCCTTCATAGTTCTTAAATAGTGGCGGTCCCAACAAAAGAGCTCCATTGCCTAGAAAAGAAGGTTAAGGACACTCCATATTAATAGCTGACAGCCACGGTAATTGGTGTGCCATCTCCTTTTCTTATCTTGCCCAGAGACATCTGAGCTTTTTGTACATATACCAGTCTCCACAAGTACTTCTTGCAAGTTGGCCTTCCCCCTCATTTTGTACAGTATTTCATCTCAGTCTTCTCATAAGTAACTAATTATAATGCATGGGCCACTCTGATGGAGGGTGGAGGTTCCTGGGGAGACCCCCCCCCCCAACTGCCAGCACTTTCTGTTGCTGCTCCCTTCACACCCTACTGCAGTGGTGGCAAACCTATGGCACGGGTGCCAGAGGTGGCACTCAGAGCCCTCTCTGTGGGCACGCGTGCCATTGCCCCAGCCAGGCCCAGATCATCATTAAAGTGTCGAATTCTCTGCCAAATAATGTTAAGTAAATGAAAGCCTTTGGGATTGCTTTCCTTACTTTGTTTGGATCATCTTAAGTTAATGTATGAGTGGTTTTTCTAAAGTAAAACCTCAGTATTCAGGTTAAATTGCCGTGTTGGCACTTTGCGATAAATAAGTGGGTTTTGGGTTGCAGTTTGGGCACTCGGTCTCTAAAAGGTTTGCCATCACTGCCCTACTGCATCAGCAACTGCCGTTCTCCCCGCCCGCCTGCCCCTGATCCCTGGGCTTAGCTCTCTGGCCAGGACAGGTGTACCCACAGAGATAATGAGAGACAGCCTGGAGAAAGAACTCCAGGAAAAGCACATCCTACAGTTCAACTGCTCTGTCACTTTTCCTGCCCTTCGCTCAAGGAGCCCAGGGTGGTGTGCGGTTCTTCCTCCTCCATCTCCTCCTCACAACAACCCTGTGAAGTCGGCTGGGTTGACAGGGAGCCAAAGGGACTGGTCCAAGGCCACCTGGTAAGCTTCATGGGGAGTTTAGCTCTGTCCCGGCCGCAACAAGAGTGCGCTCAGCGCGTGGTTTTCTTTCCACGGTTCCACCACCCCGAAACTCCTCGCTTCCTTGCCTCGTTTTGCCTGGCCAGGTCTGCGGAAAGAATTTGCCCGGTCCACCTTAAGGCCGTGCTGCGAACAAGCTGAGGCCGCACGCACGCACGCACGCTGGGTTGAGCCGCGGGGAGGTTGCCAAGAAACAGGCGCTCTCCCCTCCGCCTGCCCCAGGCCGCGAGCAGTCGCTTACCAGAGAGGCAGGCTGCTGTGTCGATCCATTTCAGGAGCTGCCCGATGCTGAGCTCCCCGTGGTAGTTGGTGTGGCAGGGCAGCACCAGCTGACTCATCTGAACCTCGGTGGCGTTCCGGTAACCCTCCATGGCGCGCCACCGCCGGGGCTCCACCTCCGAAGGCGCCGGGCTCGCTGCAGCCGCCGCCGCCGCCGGACTCTGCATAGAAAGGAGAGAACAAAGCGCCGAGTCACTCCTAGTGCCGCCAAGCGAGTGGAGCCCGGCCTGCAAGTCTGTTCTGCTGACCCTTGCCGCCGCCGCCCTGCCCGCGGCTCTAGCTGCTTTCTCAAGTCGCATTTTCCTCCCTCGGTGCATTTAAATAACAGCCAGCAACCCTTTGAAACCCCGGAGAACCCTTGTGACTCCCCCACCCCCACCCCCAGTATCTCCAAGGAGCTCAAAATGGCATACAGACAATCCTTCTCATTTTGGCCTTACAACTTTCTGGTAGTATCTGGCCCAAGGTCACTCAGCTTCTGTCAGTCCTCTTAGACTGGAGACAGCAGTAAAAGCGATTTAGCCCTTGACACCATCCCAGTCAAAGACATTTCCCAGTAATATAATTTTCCAAATAAAATCAATAAGCGAAGCCTCTTTCCCCCAAAACACCATGATCACAAACAGTGCATCTATCAAAGGCCAAAACCAACCAAAAAACCCCTCCAACTGGGAGCCAAAGTGTATACAGGGATTCCTTATATCTGTGTAAGAAACCACAACATTATTGCATCCCCTCTAAAATTGCAAGGAAGGCAATGTATTAATTTCAGGCAGAGACTGAACCTGCCTAGTGCCTCTTGCCTTCAGACATGGAGCAAGTGGTTACTGGCGGATGGCCTTTTCTATGATGGTGTCCCAGTTACAGAACTCCCTTTCCACACAAACTTGCCTGGTTTCTATATTAACATCTTTGAGGTATTAGGTGTTGTCTCTCATATCCACCAGTGCCTTTACTCATTCACAGGACAAGTTCTCTGACATTTATGGTTTTATTGTATCTTTTTTATACTGGCTGTTCTGTTCTTAGTCTTGATCATGAGCTGCCTAGGATGCTTTTGAAGTAGATAAGAAGGATAAAAATCTTGTAAATAAGTACGATTTTATGGAGGGGAGGAGGAATTGTGTTGCTGGCTACTAATTAAGTCACAAACTATGTTCCTGGGATGTTTGCACAACCACATTTCAAAATGGCAATCAATAAGCTGGGGGGGGGTCATCACAGTGGTGTTCCAAGGATTTAGAAAATAAGACTGCCAAGAAACAGCTGCATTCCTTGAGAGGAGATTTATGGACTACATGCTACAAATTTAACTCATGCATTTTTAATACACAAAATACAGATTGTGTGGAAAGGCCTTAAAGATATTCTCAGCATCACTTGAGAGCACTCTGAGCAAATAAGGGGCCGGCAGAGGGAGTTGGCAAACGGCCATCCTGGGAACAACGCCAGCAGGTCCGGGACGGCAGCCAGCTACTCCGGGAAGCAAGCCAGCTATTCTGGGAAGCAAGCCAACCAAAGCAGGTGTTTAGCCAGCCTGCAGCATACGAGTCAGCGACAGGATGAGAAAGCATCTTCGCTTCTACACGTGAAGGCACGCAGATGTTTTTTGTGCAATGAAACCGGCCACATCAAAAGATTTTGCCCGCGGAAGAAAGAAAGGGCCACCAACGTTCTCAAGGACGGAGGCGGTGTCAAGCCTCAACATGTGGCCACCCATCAAGCAACATTGGTGACAGCGTCAGGGTCTTCTGAAAGGGACAAATGGGTCCTGGACTCTGGCGCATCCCAGAATTTCACAAGGGACGCAAGCTTGCTGACTGACTCTCAGCCAGCTAGTCCAGCACACGTGAGTTTGGCTGATGGTGCACCAGCATCAGCAAATGTGCAAGGAACAATTTATTTTCATTGTTTGAATCATGCTTTTGAAAATGTGTTATGCGTTCCTAGCCTCCAACACAACTTATTAAGCATCGGTGAATTAACTAAAGCTGGGTTCAGGGTAACATTTACTGAACAGCAATGTGTGATACAGAAGGCAGATAAGGTCCTTGCCACTGGCAAAGTGGAGAATGGTGTATATATTCTTGATAACGTTCCAGGGCAAGTGAAAACTGTAATTAGCAATCAAGCATTGCATGATGAATGTATCCACATGTACCATAGAAGGCTGGGGCACATGTCATTCTCAACATTAGAGAAAACGTTTGCATGTCTAGGGCATGATAGGTTAAAGAAATGCCAAATGTACTTAGACTGTGATATATGCAAGCAGAGTAAATCACGCACACACCCAGTAGCTAAGGCTAGTCAAAGGTCCACAGATAAAGTATTGGCCCTAGTACACGCCGACGTAATAGGACCCTATCAAAATAGCTTATCGGGTAAACGATATGGGCTTTTGATTGTTGACGACCACAGCAGGTACTGTTGGTCATTTCCTATGCAGAGGAAATCAGAGGTATGTGAATTAATTAAGACATGGGCAAAAAAGGTGCAAAAACAGTTAGGAACAGAAATTCAGCAGCTTCAAACTGATTTTGGAGGTGAATTTATGGCTACTGATTTGCAAAAATGGTTAAAGGCACAAGGTATTGAACACAGAGTGGCTAATACAGCCTGTCCTCAGGAAAATAGCATTGTGGAAAGACGAGCAGGAATTATACAAACGGTGATGCACTCTATGTTATTAGATTCTGGTTTACCAAAGTCCTTTTGGGCAGAGTGCTTGAGATGTGCCACCTACAATGTCAACAGAGTTTGGTGTAGAACAATTGAAGACATTCCCTATAGGGCTCTCTATGGTAAAAATCCTTCTTTGAAGCACCTAAGAATTTTTGGGTCAAAGGCATGGGTGAACATACCTTTAAAGCAAAGAAGAAAGGGAGGTCCCAGGGCACAAAAATTAACTTTCATTGGTTATCAAACTGGAATGAAAGCATATCGTTTTGTGAACGCTCACAACATGTTGGTATTCAGCAGGTCTGCAAATTTTTGCGAGAATGCCAACTGGTCACACATTCATGCTAATGAAACTCCCCAGCAGATCATGTTACCAATTACTGACAGTACAGGGGGAACAGAGGTGAAGCAGGAAGGTGCCGAAGCAGCACCGCAAGTCTCTGATACTGGTTCAGGTTCTCCACAAATACCCAGAGTGTCTACAAGAATTACTAAGGGAATACCACCTCAGAGATATGGTATAAATAATGTATTTGTAAAGGTACCTGAAACATACACTGAAGTGTTATCTCTAGCAGCTACCGAACGCCAGGCTTGGGAAGCAGCAATGCAAACTGAGTATCAGTCTCTCAGAGCACACGAGGTATTTACTCCCACTGAGTTGCCTAGGGAACGGAAGGCAATTGGGTGTCGATGGCTCTACAAGTTAAAACACAAGCCGAATGGTGAGGTGCTCTACAAAGCACGTCTGGTCGGTAAAGGCTTTGATCAGAGGCAATATCAAGATTATGATGAAACTTTTCAAAGCACGGTCAGAAATGAAACAATAAGGGTTGCTCTGGCTGCGGCTGCAGCAAAGGGGATGAGAGTGAGACACTTTGATATTGAAACCGCGTACTTGAATGCTCCTTTGAAAGAGGAAATTTACATGGAACAGATACCTGGGTTTCATTCAGGGTCTGATACATCTGTTCTAAGGTTAAACAAAGCTCTTTACGGGTTAAAGCAGAGCGCGTTTGAATGGGGACGATGTCTTCATAATGCTCTGGTAAATAAAGGTTTCAAACAGAGTATAGCTGATCCATGTTTATACAGCAAAGAGTTAAAAGGACAGCTTTACTGGCTCTTTTATTATGTAGATGACCTTTGTTTATTGTACACGTCACAACAACAATTGGACTGGTTTACAGAAACATTAAGATCAGTGTTTAACATGAAGGATCTGGGCGAAATACAGAGTTATCTGGGTGTACAGATAAGCAAGAATGAACAAGGTAATTACACTCTTTGCCAAGAGCAAAAGATCTTGCAGCTCATTGAAAGGTTTGGCATGAGTGAAGCTCACGTTACTGAGACGCCTGTAACAGTAAACTACCTAAAAGAGGAGCAGGGAGAAATGTTTCCTCACAAACAGTTATATCAATCGTTGGTTGGGTCTCTACTGTATTTGTCATGCTGCACAAGGCCAGATATCTCTATAGCTGTGCATTGGTTGTGTCAACAATGTCAATGTCCTTATCAAAGAGACTGGGTTGCAGCAAAAAGAGTGCTCCGGTACCTTAAGGGCACAGCAAGTGAAAAATTAGTGCTAAAGGTGGATGCACAAACAGACGGTCTGTCAGCCTTCAGTGATGCAAGTTGGGGGGAAAGGCCGGATTCAAGGTCGACCACAGGGTTCACAATTTCTGTATTAGGTGCCCTGGTGGGATGGAAATCAATCAAACAGGCACATATTTCATTAAGTTCCTGTGAATCGGAATTCTCCGCTATAAGTGATGTGATTATTCAGTTGGAATGGTTTCACCAATTATTAAAAGACTTTTGCATAAAGTGTGATTTACCTATCAAGGTTTTTTGTGACAGCTTGGCAGCTGCTCAGTTGGCTAAAAATCAAGGGGTAAAAACCAGAAGTAAACACATCACAATCAGGTATCAGAATGTAAGGGTTGCTGTGTGTACAAATTTTATTAACATTCAGTACTGTAATTCTGAGGATAACCTGGCTGATTTATTTACAAAGTGTGTACCTGTAAATAGATTTAAAGTGTTAAAAAGTAAACTATCATTTGTATAGGCTGTATCTTGGGAGGCGTGTTGGCATATTGTATTATATGTATGCAAGATGACAGCCAATGATGCACACATGTCAGATTAAACTGATCTGGGTGACAGGTAAGACTGTCATGTGACAGGGTCACCAGATGCAAGTTGCACTAGGTTGCATCAGCTAATTAACTATGTCACCATGAGTTGGCAAAATGACTCTGATTGGTGCAAGTACTGTATATATGTAATGTAGTCCAGAGGCAAGTGTTCCACACCAGTGGAAGAGTGTATTGCGAAGCACCTTGTCGGTCAGTTCCATGAACCTGGGATACCGCATGGTGGAAAGGACTGTGTAAATAACTGTAAATAAAAGCCACTGTATATAGCTCAGATACAGCATCCTGATATCATTATTATTCAGACGTTCTGCGCA